AGCGAATCACCATAGACGACATCTCCTTAGTCAAAAATTGATAAAATTAAGGTATTACACAAATAATATTTTTGCTTGGCTGATAAATGTTTTTTTAATTTGTTTATATTTTTTAGTCGCATGTAAGATAAATTTGTTCTGTTTTTTATATGACTGCCGAAGCCAAGCGAGCAATCAAATATAATACTTAGATTTTTTGTCTCCTGAACTATGGGGATTCTGTCAAGGTTAATAGAAATTACTAAATTTTGTTCAAAATGTTCTCTTTCATTACTGTTTTGATTCACAACCATTACTTGCGATTTTGAGGGTCATTTGCTAATATAACACACTTTGAACGGTTGCTTAAGTATGTTTTTATTAGATTTACGGAGTTCTGCGAAAACCCCAGGTAATGTAACTTGCTTCCGATACGCGCCATTGTTTCTACTGGCTGGGATCACCTGCGAGAGTGCTGATCTTGGTAAGTGTTCTGGTCTTACTGTCGCATCTGACACATTGTACCGTCAGGTATCGGGGAAAGGCGACGTTGCCAGATGGAATACCGGTAGGGCAGGGAAATAATGTTTATCGACGGATTTGTGGGCTTGTTTGACTGACTTGATCCATTTAATTTTTATGTTTTCAGAGGGTCTCACTTGTGCTAAACACAATATTCCATGTCATCGTTGCATGGGAAGTGCAGAGTCACCCTATCTGGCGCCAGTTTTTCGGGCGAGCATGTTTCATACGAAAGTTATGAAGTTTTTTATTGCAGACCTAGTGAGAGCAAACCTACGTCAATCAATAAATTGGTAATGATGTTATTGCAAAAAACTGTTAAATGCTTCCTATGACTAGAGCGATCACATCCTCATCATGTAGACCTTATCCACTTTTGACATCATTGCGTATTAGTTTTTTGTTTACAATCAGCTGTTCTACAACATAGAAACGTTTTTATTGTCAGACAACAACAACAAATAAGAATGGCATGCACAACACTTTACGCTTTACTATCTGTTCTAGACAAGTGAAAATATTAGGACTGTTTTAGGTCAGTTAGTGCAAGATCATCGCGAACAGTTGCCCCTGCTAAAGATGGCCTTCTTCTGTTAACACATTGGCATTCATTCTGATAGATAGGGAATGGAGGCTAGATTGAGACCCACTGTCTACTGCAGAGGCGTAGTGGGTTTCCATCCTGAAGAATACGAATATGTTCTCCCAAACAGAAAAGGGCACGAGTAGATGACACTGCCATCTAGGAAGGAGAAAGTGAAGAAAAAAGTGACTTGCTGCCTGGAGGTGTAGTAAACACAAAATTTATTATCATTCTCAATACTTGCACTTAAGGTCACCGTTGCGGCCGAAATGTTAGCACAAGTATTTGAATTTGTGGCTTTTCTGGATTAGACGATGGAGTTGTATCAACATGAAAACCACATTATAAGCTTCAGGTATTGCATCAGTTCCAGGTCCTTCTCAGAGCCAAACGTGTTGAAGTCATATCTTCAGTAATTATAAAGCGAACTAGAACGAGTCGCTCTTTGGAGATGGTTGTCTATACATTAAAACTACATGCTTGTTGGAATAAATAATATCCAACAAGGTTCCTTATTGAGTATTTTGAGAACTGTTCTGCCTCGTACGCTACGTCCTCAGACACCAATAAATCCAGACCCTCCAAATTGCAGAAAAACTTTTCTCTCTAGTCTGCTTGCACAGATCGATTTTTTACTGTGAATATCCAGATGTCAAATATCATCACTCACGACGCTTTGGTTCGGAACATCTTTTAAACAAGAACGGAAATGTTGGTGGTCGATTTGGGTGGTTTTCGCCTCAAATTATTTAGAAGCGGTTAATTTTGGGAGGTTTTTGCCTCAAACTATTTTTGGAATAAGAAAAAAGGTTATTATTTTTTCAAAGTCCATAAACAGTACTAAGTCGATTTTACCTTGAACGGGCCATTTGAAACCACGCAGTCTTCCTCCTCAACCCTTAATCCGCCATCCATTAGTAAAATGATTTTAACAGAATTTATCGCTGACAAACTTATACTTGCTTAGCAAAATAATGCTTCGTATTGGCAGCTCATTCACTCATATTTATCATGATTTTAGCCCTCGATTAGGGGCGGAGATTATGGTTTGATGCAGATTACATATATGCATATACGAGAAGTAATTGCAAAATATCTTCTGCTTATCAGGGCTGATTTGATTCTTTTGGGGCTGCCAAATTTGTGTTACATCAAGTTTAATGTCATTTGAAGGTCAACTGAAGAAGAAGTCAAACAGAAATAAATAAAAGTGAATGGTCGCTTAATAAGGTGATGGCGTGGTGTTTTAATGAATCTCAAAAAAAAAATGTTACTACTAAGGAACTGCTTATTGAGGGTTGAGGGGAGACTGGGATGTTTAGTGTTGTCCGATTAAAGTAAAATTGACTTATTATTGTTGGTATACATTGTAAAAGTTATTATGTGGCTAAAAACTGCCCAAATCGACCCATACCCTTGTAACCGGATCAACGATTTGAACCTTTTCAAATAACGGAATAAGGTTGTTTCACAAATGTCTGAAGTGTCATGTCATATGACCATAATGTGGTTAGAGAGACTCCATAATATTATAGGCTCCATAATAGTGGTCTAGTGACATGGTAAATCAAAAGGTCAGAAATGAAGCTGGCCTGCCTGTACATCGCTTTTCACTCTGTGTTGGATAGGCTATGCACGGTCATTCGTTAATCACTCATCAATACAGCACACATAAATGAAAACTTGTGGGAATATGGGCGTTATAGTCCCGTTGTATAATTTTGACGGGAAAATCCAAAATTACTATGACCGGCAGAAGGATCAAGTGAGTGAGCAGGCGGTTAATATTTGATATCCTCATCAATCCGAAATACGTCCAGCACTAATATAACTGTAATGTAGTGCCACTGGACATATTTTCTCAAACCATAAAGCTTCTTTGCTCTTGGAACACTAGTAACCTTGAGTGAAAATTTCATCAAAGTCCGACCGTTACTTTCCGTTATATGTAGTTGTAGACGGGCCAAGGATTAGTAGACAGACAGATAGACCGACAGACAGTCACAAACCGACAAGCTATCGGATATGAGTGACATGGTTCTTTTGATGTACTTGTCATCTTACATCGAAAAAATACAATATCTCTCTCGCTTTTCTTTGTATCAGCTTCAATGATTTTTACCGGCTAGACGAACATTTTTTGTGATAAAAAAAGTCGCTGTATATGTATATATTTTTACCGTTACAGATTGAACACATTACGATTCTTGCGCTGTACCTATAATGTGATTTAACCTTTTGAAAATGTTTTGTAATTGTAATGTCCTTATTTATTTTATAATTATAAGTATTTTTCTGGCATATTTGCTCAAACGCATATATGACCCTCAAATTGATATTGACAAGTCTTATATCATGTAACATGATCTAATAGGACAATAAACTATCTATCTATCTATCTATCATCTTCGAAATCTTTCGCGATTACAATACGTTACTTCCTCGCTTGTAGGCGTGAGAAGTGAAAGGGGAGCAAAACACAGCTTTTCACTATCTTTGACTATACCTTTGACCAGCATTATTAGAAAGCCCCAAGAAATCAACATTTATGTTAAATGTACTTGATTAAACGTATTTTTATCTCACTTTCTATTTAGTTGCGTCCATCTTTTAAATTTGGCACCTAAAAGCTCAGTGTACTTGAAGGGGACTATAGCGGCTTGTTGAGCTGCTCTTGTGATGTGTAGCTTTACTGCTGGAGTTTTTTGCTATAGATTTTTTCTGTTTTTATTATAACTGCTCAAGCGATTGTAGATTGTAGATGTAGAGGTTTTTATGTCAATCTATGATGACCGTACTATATGTAGGTCGTATACAGTTCCTAGTCGTTTTGTCCGGCTCCTCTTCTAATTGGGCATGTCGTCGTAATTGCGGACCAAATCGAGAGGCGGCCATCGCCTCACCGACTTTTCCTTTTACGCGACTCTCCCTCGGACATGTCTTGCCTCTAATCACCTGGAAATCTGGATTCTTATCGCTCGGATTCGGATTGAATGGGAAAGAAACAATAGATAAGCTGCTCTGTCTACTGCCCGGGATTATGGAAGGGTATTGTCGATTAACATTACCATTGCTGCCGTGCCCGGCATGGTTGAACGATGTAATGGCTGAGAGAGAAAGAGAATTGTTTTATCCTTTTATGTATGATGATAGCTCTTGTTCCCACATTCAAAGCGTTGAGAGATAAAAAGCAAGATATGAGATATTTTGCTGTATTCTACACGTTGGAGATAACAATCCTAAGATCAGCTACAATCAGTGGTCGTCAACTCGTCGATCGCGAGCTACCGGTAGTTTGCAAAGGCAATTCTGGTGGCTCGCAACATAGTTTAAAAAGGTGTAAAAATCATAGAAGCTGCCGTAAATGTTGTAAATTCTAATAATAACAACAAGCAGCGGCAACACTGCGGTGAGCGATCTGTTCGAGAATGATCTCGATTACAGTTTAAAACTGAACAGCACAAAGTCCAGCACTTCGGTTAGAGTTACCCTGCAATTAAAAACATTATGACCAGTAGTAAGAAGATGAAGACATACCATTTCCATTCGGAATGGGAAGAACAATATTTCTTTACAGAAGTTAAAGGTATGAATGTATGTTTGTTATGTAATATATGCTTCCTTTGCTGAAAAAGGGAATATCGAGGGGCACTATAAAACTGTACATTCGAATTTTGAAAAATCATTCCCACTACGTTCTGCAACTAGAACGGAAAAACTGAAACAATTAAACAATGACTTAATTGGAATAATAATCAGATAAATAGAAGATGAATATAAGTAACAGTTAAGAAATGACTTCGATAACTGTGCTTATTTTTCACTGAAGCTGGATGAATCCACAGATGTCGTGAAACATCTCTCAGATGGCTATGTTTGTCAGGATGGTTTTTAGTGATTTTACGATTAAAGAAGATCTTTAGAAGTTTATTCCACTTAAAGGACAGACTACTGGGCAGGACTTATTTTCTTCTTTTCAAAGTATTATTTCTTCTGAGAAAATTACAAAGTCGAAAATGGTAAGCTTATGAACCGATGGCGCTTCAGCTATGGTGGGTCCTGAAAAGGGTCTCGTGTGGTTATGGCGTAAATATGAAAGTTTTCCGTAAATTCTCTGTTACGATTGCATTATCCATCAGCAAGCATTATGAGAACGTTTTCTAAAACTCAACAACTTTATGATATTGGTAGTAAAAATTGTGAACAAGATCAGAGCTCAAGCGTTACAAAGAAGATTATTCAAAACACTGGCCGATGAAATTGACTGTCAATACGGGGAACTACTTCTTCACTCTGAGGTCCGATGGTTAAGTAGGGGACGAGTGTTGAAACGTTTATATCATATCTGCCATAGTTCAATTTTTCAAACAACGTGATGAACCGATTTCGGAACTGGAAAATTCAATCTGGCTTAGAGATTTTGGTTTTCTTGTGGATATTACAGAAAAATTAAATCAAATTAATTTGCAGCTTCAGGGGAGAGACAAGGAACTAGCAAAAATGATTTATTATATAAAAGCGTTCATCAAAAAGATTTGGGAACAAAACAATCGATGGCGATACTAGGCTTTTCCCTGTTCTTCCAGAAAGTATATCTCAAAGTCCATTAGAATCATATGACAGTAAATATCATGTTGAAATAGACTCTAACTTGAAGGATTCCTTCAAAAATCCTTTCAAGGATTTTAACGAAATTGCTGTAGTGGCACAATTTGTTGTTTCACCCTTCATGGAAATTGATATCCAACAGTTTGCCACTTATTTAGATTAACCGATTTGAGTGAATCTTCTTTTTCAAATATGAAGTTTATTAAAAACAAATACCGTAATCGACTTACAGATTAACATTTGGATAATGGTATTCGAATGACGGCATCAAATTATACTGGAGACATTGAAAAAAATTGTCAGTGAGTCTGATTGTCAGACTTCTCATTGAACACGCATTTTTTATTTGGACATGTTTTTGTTTAAAATGGTGCGTTGCTTTTTTATTTTTAGTTACCTTCATTAAATCGTATGTGACATGGCATTGTAGCTGATGGATAATTTTATTTTTCAAACACCTACGATTGGTAGGAATGGATATGGTTACGTAGTATGTATTAGTTATTAGTTTATTTAAGTGTATTAGTAAAATAAACACATGTATAGTCAACGCCAAACAAAGTGGCGTGCACGTCATCAAGGTGGGTGTGTTGAAAAATTTACATTGTTGCCAAACTTTTTGTAAAATAATAAAATTTATTATTTACATATCTAGGTTTATAAGCAATATTAACTTCAAATGAGAACAAAAATAATAGTATAATAAAATTATAGATCTGTACTTGCATAATCATTAAGTATGACAATTATTGATCAGATGACACTATGAAACTACCATATTTAATTGATAGCTTAAAGGTACTGAATAAAAATCCAAATGGGGTCCTCCAAATTTTATGCATGGTATTTATTTTACAGAATTCATACAGAAAAATGCATTCTCAAATTAGGTAAGCTACTGGTGTAAGCTTTTTCTGTACAATAAAGTTAGTCGGAGTTTCTTTCTTCAGCGCTGTCTGAATCTGAATCTTCATCACTCTCAAAGTTGATTATTAAAGGTTCGATGTCTGGTCGATCAAAAATTCGTTCTCTTTCATACCATTTAAAAATTTCTTGCTCAGTATATCGAACACTATTTTTCCACATGTCTGGGGTAACCGTTTGTAGAGCCTCGTTCCACATATCCAAACAGTCTTTTTCACTGTTACCATCTCTACCAATATGTCTGTTATAGTAACCTTTTGCTATGCCCCAAATTAACTCAATAGGGTTAAATATACAATGGTAAGGAGGCAGACGAAGAACTTTGTGCCCATGTTGTTCCGCCAATTCATCAATCACGTATATTTTAGGTGGTTTGTTTCTAAAAAAGCAGTTATTTTAAGAATAGGAATAAACAAAAGAAATATAAACTGTCGACCAAAATATATATATAATTAAGAAGCATTATGTACCGAGCAACAATACTCAATAGCTCTGTTTTAAACATTGTGTTTAAAAATGGTATGTTTTGATTTGTCAACCAGTCTTGGATATTTTTTTTTGTCCATGCATTGTTGGGCACTTTGTTCAATATCATGCTGTGATAAGGGGCGTTATCCAGTATAATCATAGATGGACTCTCCAATTTTACTAATACCTGATGTTGAAACCATTTCAAAAATTTGTCCTGGTTCATCTCTCCATGGTAATCGCTCAATTTTGTTTTCGAAGAAAATATCGCTTCACTACCCTCAATAAACCCATTTTCATTTCCAGCATGTAATATAATGTATCTAAAATATATTAGTTTTAAATTTTATAGTGCAAATTGTGTAAAAGTACATACCTTTTACCATCTGTTTTAATAGCTTTCACGCTTTTTTGGTTTCCATTTTGCCAAGAGCGACCTATGGTCCCATTTTGAAATATCCAAGTTTCATCGAGGAAGACAAACTGGTATAAGGCCTCAACCTTGGCTTGATTGTATTGCCTTAGAAATTCCACCCTTTTCAAAGCTATACTTGGTAGTTCCATGAGCCCTCGTCGCGGATTGTCCTTAAGCCACTTGAATCCAAGATCTCTAAGCAACCGCCTTAAAGACGTGGCACTACCATCAAATAATGCCCTATCTCTTAATCGAGACCATAAAGTTTGTATCGTAACTTGTTCTTCTGAAACCATGTGTAATATGACATTATAATTTAGTTAACAAATTAATGCAAATTTCTGATAAGTTATTATAATAAGATCTTACTTTTGTGATACATATTATAGATCACTTCTCGAATGGCACTTGTATCCAATGTCGCTGTGTTGGTTACACGTTTAATATAACTCCGCTTTTTCTTGGGCGATTCTAAATTTGCATCACTTTTCACACCCTCGGAAATACGACTAACTGTCCTTAAACTAGTTTTTAAAGCAGCAGCAACACGCTACAAAAAATGAAATAAAATTTCACTATTATTAATACACATTACATATAATTATTAGTAACCTACCTCTTGAACAGCATTTAAAGGCAACAAAGGCCCGTTGTTGTCCCTTTCTTGCTCAAAGTAGTGCATTAACGAGGCCACGAGTTCCTTACACCGACTATTTAACTGTTTGGGCATCTTTATATACCAAAATTGCCTTTATCTACTCGTAAAATGAATAATTTTGTTTTGAAACAAACAGTTGTTGATTTACAGTATGCGGGGCCAAAGGATTTATAAAGATTTGAAATGCCACAAATTGATTCAGTGTCAAAATTAATACAAATGTCAGTTCCCAGTTTAAATAAGTTTCAAGGTGACAATGTGTCAACGCTGCGAAATCGGTTTAGTGCGTTTACATGTCGATAAGTGATTGGAGCGTTTGCAAAACATTTTATTTCGCACAATGCGTCTAAATTTATCAGAAAGCAACTTATGTGATATTTTAATAACAATGTTTATATGACTATTAACCATAATAAGAGAGTAATGACCATTTTACAATTTATATATCACATTAATATGAAACTGCAATAGAGCAATTGTTTGTGATAGAAACCTAGGCATTAGGTCGGGGAATTTTTATCGTGATGACGTGCACGCCACTTTGTTTGGCGTTGACTATATGTGTTTCTTCATTGATCTACGGGTACATCATCGGGAACCAGAAAAGCTCCTTTGTCTCCAATGCATGGATTAAGGAGTTGTATCATGTCACGGTCCGAACATATTTAATACTCAACCACTAAGGCCAAAGGGAGTCTATACCTTATTGAATGATCCTTCAATGACAGTACTAGTGTTGGGCTTCTGTACACTTCATGTGTGAGGCCAATTATGGAATTTACGGGACCTGTTTGGTATCCAACGCTACTACGTGACCGAGACCTGTTAGAAAACGGAGAGGTTTGGATGAACTTCGTCAATGCATCATCGGAAGCTGCCATGATATCCCACAACATGACCATCAGGAATTTGAACATCGCCTATATATTTGCTTGGCCAATAATTTGCAATATTTCGAACACTTATTGAAATAAAAATACTTACGTGTGTTTTTTGTTTTCTATCTGAAGGAATTAAGATAAATAAAGATTTGTCTAATTTTCTTGCAGACGAAATACGTTTCAAATAAGCTATCACTTGATACCTCCTGTTATTTAAAATGTTTAAGGGGATGACCCTGGGGGACCGAGGGTGAAAGGGGCTGAAGTAGTTTTTGGTTACAAAGTTGTCCCCCTTGACAAGTCTTTTGACGTGCCTCGGCATTTCTTTCGTTTAATCAGTGGTTTTTAATAATCCGTGATGGGAAGTTTTCAAATGTTGGGAATTGCTATGGTGTTAATAAAATTCCGGTATGTGGTTAAATAGTTCGCTTTATATAATATCTTAACTAAAATAATTACTTTTCATATTTAAATTGCTAATTAATGTATGTGTTTAAATTTTTTTTGTAGTGCCTTGAAGAAGAAAATAACTTCTCCGAAACGTCGTCAAGAAATTTAAATAAATATTACATTCCACGAAAAAATACTGAAAGGTGATAGTGAATACTGGCCAAGTGACATTCGAGTTAGTTAGCTCGAGATAAGTCGATATATAGGTCACAATAGACAGCGTCTGCAAACACCTATACGAGGGGTTACCAAAAAAAAAAACAGGAATTATTTTTTAAAAGCTATTTATTTTCACCTTTTTCACAAGGTAACCTTATCTCCTTCAAAATACTGTCAACTACAACCGATACACTTGTACCACGGATGCTTCCACTGCTCGAAACAGTTTTTGAAGCTTTCCTTAAGGCGGCATTACACTCTACGAGATATCGTCGCGATTTATCGATGATGTGATTGGCAAATTTATTGCTCCGATAAATCCAAGGTGGGGTACTGTTTACACGCTCCGAGAAATTGCAACAATTCCTTGTCACATTCTATCGTCGCCAGCTATAGACCACATAAAATGCTGTAGCCATGGAGTACTACTGTCAGTATTAATCGGATGTTTAGTGAGTAAAAAAAAGGAAAAATCGCGAAAACCCAGATCCAAGTGGAGTCGCGAGTGGTTACTGAAGAAGAGGGAATTCTCTCATGTGAACTTATTGCAAGACTTGAGTAGTGAGTCACATGACTGGCGAAATTATTTGAGCATGGACGAGGGGAGTTATCTTGAGTTGTTAAGCTTAGTTTCTCCGTTGATTGCGAAACATGATACTGTAATGAGAAGAGCGATATCCCCTCACGAAAGACTCTCAGCTACCTTACGATTTCTTGCCACCGGAAGATCCTTGGAGGACATGGATTATTCTACTGCGATTTCTCAGCTAGCTCTCAGCTCAATAATCCCAGAAACCTGTGAAGCTATCTACAAAGTATTACAACATCCAGGTATGCTTTATTTATTATAAAACATATTTGTCTATATATTAGTTTTTAATTTTCTTTTAAAGTAACGAAATGTAATACATTATAAAGTGAATAATCATGGAATGTGAAACATTAATGTCTTGCTATGCCGAGAAATTTGAAAATAAGGCTGAAGCATTGTTGAATTGTTGTGATTCTGATTGGTGAGCATTGGGTTGTTCAGGTTTGTTTGTTTGAACGTTTGGTAGTGTCACGCTAGAGACTCCAGGAGTATCATGTTGAGAGTTTGGGAGTATAATGCTGGAGCGTTTGGGAGCTGTAGAATGTTATCACTGGAACAACGAGGATTGTGTTGTTGAGGGTATGATTAATGGTCGGGCATTCGTGAGATGTAGGGTGGGGGGTAGGGTTACTGTCGGTAAAGCTGGGGGTTAAATTGTTGATACTCATTGGTTTCGAATGAATGGGGTGGTTGAATGTTTGTTACTTTAAAAACTTTGGTGAATGTTTTAAGCTCCCCCTCAAAAATCACGCCATTTATGAGTTTTCTAGCGAATATGGCCTGGTTTCCTCTAAGAGAACGTAGCTTATGCACACACACTTTCCGTCATCATCAGTATCAATCGAGGTACGAATACTTTGTAGCTGCTCTCCCGCAAGCTGTATCACCTCATCTGCCGGAGTCAGCATCTTTTTTCTCTTACATAGTGCCTTTGGCATCCTCGATATAACTGTTGATGGTGTCACACATAGTGATGTGCTTGATCCATCATCACCTGACGTTGGAAGAGCCTCATATCCTTGTTGGGAATGGGGTAGATCAGTCGGTTCTGAATCCTCTTGTTGGAAATAAAACAAATATCAGTTTCCAATAAACTTATGAGCGGCTACATTTGGCAGGTAACAGAAACAGTTCTTCACCTATTGCCGAGAAAATAGATTTGTAGATAATATTCAAGTTTATATTTAACTTATATTTTTATTTGTATTCAAATCTGTAATTCGAAATTGAGAGTAGTGTCAACACAATAACACATTTTGCGTGTGTGTGTGTGTCTATCAAAAACAATTTTTTTTTTCAGTTTCCTAAAACAGCCGATGAGTGGTACAAAATTGCCATAGATTGCGAAGAGAAGTGGCAATTTCCTCATTGTTTGGGCGCAATCGATGGAAAGCATGTCCGGATTGTTCCACCAAAGGATAGTGATTCATACTACTTCAACTACAAGAAGACCACTTAGTATAGTTTTGATGGCTATAGCAAACGCTCACTCTGAATTTATACTTTGTGATATAGGAACTAACGGTAGAATATCTGATGGAGGTGTGATTAATAACACTCGTTTTTGCGACAAACTTAGGAAAAATCAACTAAATATCGCTAGACCCGAACCAGTTAGCTTTGATCTTGACCTGCTATATTTTGTGGGGGATGATGCCTTGGCATTAAGACCTGATCTTATTAAGCCTTACGGTCGGGATTCCCTTAACAACGAGAGAAGAATATTCAACTATCATATATCGAGAGCACGGCGAGTAGTTGAGAACAGTTTTGGACTTTTAGCTTCACGTTTTCGTGTTTTTTACACTGCGATCAATTTAAATGTGGATTCCATCGAATCAGTAGTTCTTGCTTGCTGTGCGTTGCACAACTTCTTAACGACAAAATCATCTACTTACTCTTCTCCTGAAAGCTTTTATCAAGAAAATATTATTGATGGTACCGAGCCACCAAGTACAAGGCCTGATACTGATATGTTTCACAATCTAGAAAAACGTTCAGGAGGTCAAGTTTTGCAACAACGTTCGAGACAAATTCTGTGCGTATTTTAACGGGGAGGGGTCAATTCCTGGGCAAGAAACATTTGCATTGAATGTTTAAAATTTACAGTTCATTAGTTAAAACCATGTTATACAGGGTGTTTCAGTTTATTGTTGCATAACTTTAAGATTCGATAGAAGTTTTAAAATTAATGCATAAAGTCTATATAAACATGGGTCGAAAAATGCGTGGCTTCCGAAATACAGGGTGTTTAAATTTACTTTTTAAAATAGTTTCTTTTAAATATTTCGAACAATATGTGATGTATAACAGTGAAAATTGGTATACAAGGGTTTTTTGGTACGACAAAACGAACCATGGGCATAGTTTTACTGTAGCCGCTAGAGGGCGCTCTCTACTGTACCAGTAGTGTATTAAAATGACCGAAAATTTTTTCTTAGTGCAATTTTTTGCTTTTTGAACAAAAAAACTGATTCTTCGCACTTTTGCTGCATAAAAAAGCTCTCCTGTGAGTTTTCGTTGTAGTTAGCCGTTTTTGAGACATTTCGATTTTTAAGGTTCGATGCATTTTTAATTACTTATGGGAAAATAATTTTTTTTTATATTCTCGATTTGGGCATTACAAGTAATTAAGATGATCGTTTAGATTGTGTTTTTAAGCGCAGCAATAATTCCTAGCTCCAAGTAAACACAAAAAAACAGAATATTAATTTGTTTAATTTTCCAATATTATTTTTAACAAATTAAATTGATTATTTACAACTAAAATGCTATTGGATAGTTAGGACAAACATAGAAAATCTAAAGTAGTTGCCCGAAATGTAAACCCAATTGTTCAATACACAATTCACATCTACGAATGATCGAACGTGGTATAGCATTATTCAAATAAGGCCTTATTTTATCACATGCATTCCTGATTCTGTCTATTAGCATATCTCTTGTGGTTAAGGCAGTCTGGTACACTTTTTCTTTTAGAAATCCCTACACAAAGAAATCTAATGGATTTAGGTCAGGGGATCGTGGAGGCCAGCCGACTGGTCCTCCACGGCCGATCCATCTTTATAATTTTCGTCCAGCCAGTTTCTAACTATTCTCGAATAATGAGCTGGACAACCATCATGCTGGAACCAGGCATATCTTCTTAAATCTAACATAACATCATCCCTCATATTTGCATGTTCAGCCTTTAAAAATTCCAAGAAGGTCGCAGGATTTAACCTTGCAGGCAAAAGGCAGGGTCCAAATAGTCGATTACGGTAGATACCAATCCACACGTTCACACTAAATTCATGCTGAAAATTTCTTTCCCGAACTGCATGCGGATTTTCATGCGACCAAATATGTTGATTATGAAAATTTACCACTCCACGTCTAGTGAACCATGACTCATCGGTCCATAAAACGTTACTTAAAAACTCCCTATTATTATCAGTTCTATCAAGAATCCACTGACAAAATGTGATTCTTCGTTCTCCGTCCCCTGGCTGTAGTCCTTGCACAGGGTGCAAATAGTAAGGGCGGCTATGGTCATTTCTAAGAACACGGTGAGCATCGCTTGCTGAAATTCCCAAGGCAGCAGAAACTCTCCTAACATTTGTGGTCGGATCTCTATCAAACTCACGCAGAATCATACGGGTAAATCTACGCTGACGAACATTCATGTTTTGATCCCTTTGGAGATTTCCAAAACCATTTTCAATTATATGGCGATGCACTCTTACAAATACTGAGCGAGTTGGATGTTGTATGTTTGGAAATCTTCGTGCGTATTCTCTGGCTGCTTCTGCTGCGTTTCCATTTACAAATCCATACACCAAATGAATATCCGCTAACTCTTGATTGGAGAATAAAAATGGCATTTTTATAAAACTTACAAGAAAAAACAGGCAAAAGAAACTAAATGTCGTGCATTCACAATTGCAAAAAAACGTTTCAGGTTTCAACAGACAACAAAACTAACTGTCAACTAATTGACGTTTAACATTATTCTGCTTTCAATTTCAAAAATATTTGCAGCCACAGCCTACATTTAAAAATTATCGAGATACTGACTTTTTAACGTTATTTTATCATAAATAATTAAAAATGCATCGAACCTTAAAAATCGAAATATCTCAAAAACGGCTAACTATAACGAAAATTCACAAGAGAGCTTTTTTATGTTGGAAAGTTCGAAAAGTCAGTTTTTTTATTCAAAAAGCAAAAAATTGCACGAAGAAAAATTTTTCGGTCATTTTAGTGCACTACAGGTACAGTGGAGAGCGCCCTCTAGCGATTACAGTAAAACTGTACACATGGTTCTTTTTGCCGTACCAAAAAACCCTAGTATACCAATTTTCACTGTTATACATCAAATATTGTTCGAAATATTTAAAAAAAACTATTTTTGAAAGTAAATTTACGTATTTCGGAAGCCACGCATTTTTCGACCCATGTTTATATAGACTTTATGCATTAACTTTAAAAGTTCTATCGAATCTTAAAGTTATGCAACAATAAACTGAAACACCCTGTATAAACTAGATATTTTGAGACACAGGGATATTCTTTAATAAGTTTGTGCCGTCAACAAGTACTTGTTATAACAATAAATTTTGCTATATCCAAATAAAAATTCATTTTCACTTACATCTTGTTGTGTTTCTTGATCCACATCACTCATTGTACTCCTACTAGGTCTTTCAGAGTCCTGGTCTCTCAAAAAATGCAGCAGGTCGAAGTACCACAACGTAGGTCTATAGATGTCATCCGCGTCTGTCCCGGATTTTTCCGATTTGTAAACTTTAGCCAATTCTTTTTTATAGACCGTACGTAAAGCATTAATTTTTTTAACAACAGTGTTTCTATCCGCCGATGGATCATACTCCTGGTATTTTTTCACCAACTCAATATAAGCTAAATCCTTTTTATTCCCGTCAGAATATTCTTTGCTCTTGATGCGCCACAAACACGTAAAACTTTGATCAAGTTCAATGGACTCTGTCAAAAACTCTCGAGGAGTTTGTTTCGGTGCATCTACCATAGGTGCGTCTGTCAGTTCGTACCAAAAAAAAAAAAAACTAAATTGACTCCGTACAGCCAAAACTCAAACTGAGTTAAATTGTAGCGACAAATCGCTGCCACCTGATTACATGTTTGATAAATCGTTACGATGTCCCGATTACACACGACGATCAATTGAAACAACTCGATCGTCATGATAGATTGCTCGCATTTATCGTAGCGTGTAATGCCGCCTTTAGAAATGTTTGACAGCTCCTCTCTCGATTTTTTCTTGACCTCTTCAATGGCGACAAAGCGGTGTCCCTTCATGCCTATTTTCATCCGTGAAAATAAGGAAGAGACGCACGGAGGCAGGTCAGGCGAATAAGGTACGTGGGGCAGCGGAACCCTGCCATTTTTGGCCAGAAACTGTAGAGCAGTGTGCACAGTTGCATTATCGTGGTTGAATAACCAGTCTCCTGACTGCCACAAATCGGGTCTTTTTTTCCGAATACCGTTTCGCAACAACCTCGGAATTGACTACGTCTTTGACATCAAAAAACAATTCATCATTGTTTTGATGTTTGATTTGGCTTGACGACATTTTTTTGGACGGGGTGGCGATGGCGTCTTTCATTGACTTGAGTGTTGCTACGTTTCTGGGTCATAACGGTAGCACCAAGTCTGATCACCAGTGATGATGTTTTACAGAAAATCTTAATCACATTCAAGCTGTTGTTTCTAAGCATGACATGTTTCAACTCGGTGTTCTTTTTGATTGTCAGTCAGAGCCCGAGCAACAAACTTGGCAGCAACCCTTTTCATTCCCCAATCTTTTGTTAAAATTCGCTGAACGAACCTCCAGGACAACTCACTACTTACGGATAGTTGATCGATTGTCAGCCGACGGTCCGCAAGCACAAGCTCTCGAATTTTTTCAACATTTTCGTCGATCCGGGCAGTTGATGGACATCCAGAGCGAGATTTGTCACAATCGCCATTTTTAAATCGAGCAAACAACTCGTACACCTGAGTTTTTCCTATAGCATCATCTTTGTAAGCTATTTTCAACATTAAAACAGTTTCAGCAGCATTTTTACCAATTAGAAAGGAAAATTTCACAGCTGCACGTTGCTCACTGGAGCTTGTCATCGTGAAAGACGAAAGAAGCACGAAATTGCTGTAGCAAAAATAATGACTACAGAGGAACGAAACAAGCCAGATCAACAACTCAAGTGGCAACTGGTAATTAGTTGCGTTGTACGCGTGTAGGCGCAGATATGTGTACTACACAATCTCCGCCCATTGTAATGCTTTTCCGGTTATTTTTGGGTACATCCTCGTATAATAATCTTCAGTAAGAGCATTGTATAATGTACATCCTTATTTTGCCATTTATCGCAAGAAATGAAGGGTTGCTTAGCTGCTGAATGCACTGACTGACTTTTTAGAGTACGATTCTCGATGTCTCTTATTGGTACTCATCGATTAATTCAATGTCAGACTTGGTGACTGACTTACTAACTGCACTGGAATAATAACTGAATAGTGGGGCT